AAAAATATATTGCTTCTAATCATATTTCAAGAACAGCCTTTTGCTTATCATTCATCTAGAAAATATAATAAGCATCAGTGGTAACTAATAAAAAAGCAAAGAATAAAGCTACTAATTTAAAATTCTCAAACTAGCAAACATTTAAAAGTCTAAAAATACTTAATGCTAATAGAGGGAAGAAGGAAATTTTATATACTGGTTTTGATCCTGTCTTTGAATTTTAAATGTTATATTCTTTAATCCAGCAATTCACCTTCTAAACATTCACTCTCCTCCCATCAAGACGCAAGAATGGATGTATATGTTTATATACACAGTATATATGCCTGTCTCTATTACGTGTTGCAGAACTCTATAGGCCTAGTGGTAAGGAGCTTGTTAGCCCAAAGTCATGCAATCCGAATCCATCAGCTGCTCTGTAAGAAAAAGGAGGGCAACCTTCTCCTATGCAGTTTACAGTTTTGACAACCTACTGGCAGGTCAGCTATGAGCTGGTTCCAACTTAACAGCATTTAACAACGACAGCATTATCTATCTATCTATCTATCTATCTATCTATCTATCTATTCATAAAAAAGCCAGAAAAGTAAATGTCCACCATTCTGACTAAAGATATACAAAACCATACTATAAAATTATGCCACTATGAAAAAATTAGGTTGCTTTATATGTAATAATGAGAAGATAGCTATACTAAGAGGAGGAAAAGGTACTAGAAGTCAGAGGGGATACACACACACACACACACACACACACACACACACATTTAAGCATAGAGCAATCTATGTACAGGCATATACTATAAGGAAGGTTATATACTAATTTTTCAAATTTAATGATAACCCAGTACAACAAGGGACCGTTGGTGCTAATCAACCTGGATGCTAAAGGAAAGCTAAGAGGTCTGAACTCATCAGCTGTTTCATGAAGGAAGACAGAGAAACTGGCCTCCTCCAACACTCAGAGCCTAGGAAATCTCAGAGGGTATTTCTATTCTGTCTGACAGGGCTGGTATGAATCAGAATTGACTAGACAGTAGGTAGTAGAGCGGAAAATGAGGAAATGGTTGTTGGGGAGAGACAAGATAGAGTTTTTCACTTTTTATAGAATTAAGTTTTATTTTTAAAATTAATACAATAGCTACTTTTAGTAACACACCCTGGGTCTAAAGTAAACAGTGCTAACTTTACTTTTACTGCTTATCCCACAAATCCAGGTCAAGCTTATTCCTTTCAGGAAATCTAGATAAAAGACGCATTAGCTTGCCATCTACCAGATTTAGCTGCTGTGTCCATCAAAAACAAGGAGTCTAAGAAGTACAGAGAAAGAGAGAGAGAATGTGCTCAAGTATACAGTGTCTCTGAGAAATTACTCCATGGGGCAAGTGATCTATCTTTTCTTTTTTAGGCATATATAAAATGGTCTTAGTGAGAGCCAATCTTAACTCACTCACTTCATGTAGACACTGATTAATAAGTAGTAAGTCAAGTCTAATCAAAACATAAAAGAGCAATCAAGTATAAACTCCAAGCAAAAAGGGCCTAGTAGTATGGAACATGCAAGTTCACACATACCCTGTCCCATTCGCCATGGGTGATCCGTTTTAGGGATACAGATACATTAAAGGATGCTCTAGAGGCCTAGTGATAAGAAGCTGCACTGCAGTCCCTAAGAAACACAAGTTTTTTTTGTTTTGGGGTTTGGGTTTTTTTAAATGCAACAGATAGATATATATATATATATATGTTTTTTTTTTTACAGCATATTCTTCCCATTTAATTTCCCCCCATTCATTCATCCATTCATTCATTGTTGCACATTTTCCTCCCTGCCCATCCCTCTCCCCAGTCGCTTTTTTTTTTTAAAAAAAAAAAGAGAATTCTTTCATTATTATACAAACAGTCCCCCCAGTCCACTTTGTAAAATGGGACTGATATTGGGGCTGGGGGAAACCTAAGAAAAGAGGCAATAAATAATGTATACTGCATTGAAATAAATGGAGAGAAATGTTGAAAAGGAAGAAATAATTAGGTATTATTTTCATGACAAGATTTCAGAGAAATGTATAGTAAAGGAACACAGTTTTAATCCACCAGCTGCTTTGTAAAAGAAAGATGGGCAATCCTCTAGAGCGATTTGTTGTTGTTGTTGTGTGCTGTTGGTTTGGAAGCAACCCATAGCTTACCATCCAGGGGGTTTTCAGAGGCAATAAATTGCATGGGAGGAGACTGCCCATCCTTCTCAGGCAGGGCAGGTGGTAGTTTCGAACCACACATGCCTGTGGGAATGCAACACTCAGTTATGAGTCAGTGCTGACTGGATGGCACACAACAACACAAAGACCGTAGTGAACACTGCTTAGAAGATGGAAAGTCTTCATTCCAGCTAGTTAGATGGGGAAAAAAAATTATATGACATAAGAGGCATCCAAGGTCTTCACAAATAACTGTCCTAAGAATGTTCCAGAGCAGGACAGGATGATATTCAACTCTGAATAATTAAACTGAAGGGAAACTGAATTAGTATTATAATATGATCATCTAAAAGAGCCAAAAATACAACTTTATAGATTCTACTCAGGGCAACAAATTTAGCCTTCAACGTCAAGTAGAACTTCAAAACTAAACCAACAATCCTGTTTCAATAGCAAATTTCCCAATAAGAGGTCTTCACTCATTAGTGTTCAAGGCTTCAAACCAGTTCCTGAGGTGGTTTTGAAATTCAAGTGGGAAAGACTCAAGGCCAAATTCTGGTTCCTGTGAACTTAATCTAATTTTCTTTAGCTTCTGCTTGAACTTGCATATGAGTAGTTGATGGTCTGTTTCACAATCAGCATCTGGCCTAATATTCACAGCTGATACTGAGCTTCTCCAGTGATTCTTTCTATAGATCTAATAGAGTTGATTTATATGCATAGCATTGGATGAAATCCATGTGTTAGCTTGTACGTATGTTTCTAATAAAAAGTACTTGCAATGAATTAAATCATTGATTGTAGAGAATTCTATCTCCAGCTTAATTTCTGTCACCAAGTCCATGTTTTCCGACTACTGATCTTGGCTGAAAGTAGAGAGTATTAGAGGAATGCCAATCTGTGTTTCATTGACTATGCAAAGGTGTTTGACTGTGTGGAGCACAACAAACTGTGGCTAACTCTGGGAAGCATGGGAATCTCAGAACACTTGATTGTGTATTTCTTTATCTGGGGCTAAAGATAAAATGGTGTAATTAAAAAAAACAAAACAAAAACAATCTCTGTTAGTTAATGACTAGCTTAGGGTCCTAGGTTAGAGCCCATGGCTCTGTTCCATGAGGCCAGAGAGTACTGGAATCACTCTTTCCAGGATCTGCAACTCATAACCATACCCAACAGGCTTTTTTTTTAACCACTTTGAATAGGTTTTTATTATTAAGAAAGGAAATGAATAATACGGCGTTTGCTAGACAAATTTATAATAGTCAGGAAACTTGAAACATAGAGCGCTTAGCTCCTTTGACCATGAAATCTCTTTGGCTGGCCTGACTTCACTGTGGCACAGCCTGGGGTACTCTGTCATTAGAAATGGCTCATCCATTGTCGTTAAAAACTCTCTATGGCTCTACAGCTTGCCCAGTCTTGATTTTGCATTTGTAAACATCGTTCTTCCTCTGAACTTGCTCTTCCCTTTGTCCTCCTAAAGTTTTGTGGAGGAGGTGACCAACTCAATTTTTTTTAAAAAGAATTTTATTTCATTAATTTTAATGAACATTTACAGAGATTTTGGATTTCCATTCATTCACTGTTGCTTTTTCCTCCCT